GTTCTGCAGGGAGTTCACCAGTAAAATTGTTTGAACTAATGCCCCTGAAATCCCAAAGAAACATGTTGACTACGATTTTGTTTATGTACAGACAGAAAATAGCATAAATTCGCCTCTGTAAGAATTAAGCATGTTACAAAACACTGCTTAAGAATCTACAATTTTGTTATTTTGGATAGCAGATAAGAACTATTTATTACTGTTTGGATCTGATGCAAGCATAAGAAACTCATGTAGAAATGATAAATTTTTATAAAATTCTTAATAAGTTACAGTTACACATTTGTGTCTCCTGTGTAACTAATTTACTTCAGATAGTCCGTAGTATAAACTTCAACTCCGAGTAGAAAAAATAGTCTGTAATGTAAACTTCAACTCTGAAGAAATTTAACTAAGATATCTCTTACAATGATAGAAGATTTCTAAGATTCCCGATCTCCTTCGGAAGAGGTCCAGATAACGGATTGAGGGACACCGCCCTAGTAATTTTTTTTTCAACATTATGCGATTACTGATTAGAGAAACAGAAAGTAACAACTGATGAATGCTAAGAGAAAATAAAACTAAAGCAGTGATCGAAATCAGATTCTTACAAGTACTGCATGGCAGAAAAGTTTCCAATAAAGGATGGCAGGGGACCCGTCAAGTAATTTCGCCGAAGATCCCTTCAGTAATATCAAAACCATCAAGCTAAACATAAACACTTCATAATCAGGCTCCTGTACCCTGATTATTCTTGCTAGTTTTTCTAGATGAGGAAGATGATAGTTCTTCGCTAGTTATTAGGATTTTTTTACTGAACGCTTGAGTAACACAATGGAGAACAGGGTATGGTGATAGGTATTCTGCAAGCTTTATTTTCAAACTTCTCAAAATATTTATGTGTATTGTCCTCGTAAAACATATATATGGTATTTGTTCCATACTTATTTAATACTATCAAGATTGTGGTATAGGATTATAGCTTCTGCTATATAATGTATTTCCCAATATCTGCTATATTGAAGCCAAATCACAGTCAACAGACAGAACAATTATATATAATCTACCCCCACAAAGATCACACCTTAAGAATTTTTCCAAGAATGTGTGAATGACATGTGCACCCATCTTGTCGGCGCATACAACTGATTCTTTCTTCCAGATTTAGCACTTTGAAGTGATATATCCTTTTAGCATAATTTTACCATGAGAAGTTGGACTCAAAAGATTATTCATAAATTGGATAAAAGGACCCTCAAGAGCTGAAGAGCATCTCAATTGCCATTCCTCAGTCGATGTTCTCTACATCCTACTAGCTAGCTCTCAGAAAAAGTAGTGCTTTACTGCTTTATCTTCAAAACAGAGAAGAGAAAGTTTAGAGGCCATACAAGTTATTCAGATAAGAGAGATTCTGCAGCTCCTCAGGTATTTGACCAACAACGTTCAACGAGAACACTCTCCTGAATAGACACACAAAAACCTGTTAGCTAGAGCTCCTTGGATCCTAAAGATCGTGATTTCAGGGAAAAAAACAAACCAAACATAGGAGTTTGCAGAGACGGATTGGAAGGAACTAATATCAAACAATTTCATTTTCATGTGTGCAAGCCTAATCCTCAGCAACACCATGGTCACTCATGGCCTCTTGTAGGCATTATATCGAACACCTGGTGTGCAGCTGGATCAGCGCAGGTTGAGAGGATACGTACAGTCTGATGATGTGGCAGACGGTGCCGGCGTTGAAGGAGCAGTCGCACTTGATGGCCGGGTTGATGTTGGGGTTGTTGTCGACGCCGGTCTCGTCGATGGCGACGCCGCTGCAGGGCTCGCCGCTGATGTTCCACGCCGGCGACGCCCGCAGGCCCCATCTCCCCAGGATCGTGTTCAGTGCAGCCACTGGAGAGACACATACGCAATTCAGTTTAAGCAAATGTAGCTCGAAAACCTTTTCTTTGTTTTCCGCTAAACAAGATACCAAGGCAGATGCTCGTATACATATGCACGCTCAAGCCATATAACCACACGCTCTACTTCTGTAAACACCTACTCCCTCCGTTTTCCGTTTTAGATTATAATTCGTTTTGACTTTGGTCAAAATCAAACTATTTTAAGTTTAATCAAGTTTGATTTTGGTCAAAACCAAACTACTTTAAGTTTAATCAAGTTTACTTACAACACTAAAATAGTTTCATTAAATCTACAATTAAATATATTTTCATAATATACTTATCTTATGTTGAAAATGTTACTACGTTTTTCTACAAACTTGATCAAACTTGAGCAGTTTAACTTTGATCAAAGTCAAAACGACATATAATCTAAAACGGAGGGAGTACTTAACATTACCGGCTCGCTATCTTACCGTTCTAGTTAAATTTCTACTTATTTTTATATTGAAATATATGAGTCGAGTCCATTTCCTTAATTAAGTGGGACAAACACAACTCATTGTGGTACTTCATGTGTCATTTGAAGGAGGAGAGAATTGTGGATTGAATTAGGTGTCTAATTAGTTAGACTCAAAAGGCACATATATGGTAGAAGATATGAGAAAATTATCTAATACTTATTTTATATTAAAATAGTCCCACTCAAGTCCATTTCAATTGTCTAAATAAAACATTTATTTAATTAAGTGGGACAAATACATCTCACCTTTTCCTACCCTATGGGCCCTAGGTTGCCAATTGAAAAAAAAATAAGTCGGAAATCAAGGAAGGAATTGGTGTCCATGGTTTTAAGAAGAAAGAAGCAAATATTTCAGGTGAGCATGCTCGAGCAAAATCGAACTCAGGCGGATGGGGTGCATGCCAGCAACCCATCTCTAAGCTGCCAATTGGGTTTGACTTCAAGCTGCTCACCATTAATTCTTCCAATAGCCTTCCTTTAATATCAAAGTCCGTCCTTTAATATTCAGCGTCTAGATAGACTTTAACCTTCTGATGCGTCATAATTGATCCCTGTTTACTGAAAATGTTGCCAGTTAAATTTCTGACTTGTATTTCACTTACGTTGTCTACAGGCCTAACTTTTTATTTTGAAAGCATAGGAGCTAAGTTATTATCTGAATTTTAGGATTTGCTTCTGTCATTAACCTGTTGTTCAGTGAACTAAACAACCTGGGTACTAACCGGATGCTGTTTTATTTCGGATTTGAGTATTATAGATTGAATTTGAAGCTAGCTCTTCAAAATTAGTGAATGAAACCGGAGAACAAATTAAGCGACAAGACACAGTTTGCACGCAATTAACTAAGCTCTGCTAATTACTAGTAATCCTGCCAGTTTCTGAATTAACACCCTCTAGCTACCACTTGCAGAGTTGCAGGTAGAACAAGATCAATAGAGATATGTAATTTGCAAAACTGAATTCACATACCTTCTGCTGGATCAGTTCTCGCTGCTTGCTGAGCTTGAACAGCTGCACAGGACGCATAAACGAGCATCAGCCACAAGAAGCCATGGACGCTGCTGCTGCTGCAACTCATCTCTCTCTTAATTTCTCTCTCAGCTAATTAACCAAAGCAAAAGCAGCAGGTTTGGTTTGGTTTGTTTTGAAATATAGTGATGAATTGTCCGAGGTGTTGTGTATATATGTACCAGCAGCAACGGGAGCTTCAAGGCGAAAAGTTAATTAATCCTAATTATGACAATATGAAAAGGCCAAGAGAAACCTCAGTTGCTAATTAGTAAGATATTATTTCTGTTTCCAAGATAGCGAGAGGAGTGGAGCATTAAGGTTTCAATAATGTTTACGACATTGACTAATTCATGGCATCAACGTACTATTGATGGTACACAACTGGAAGAGATCGGACATGTCAACTGCGACTTGTACGTATGAAAGCCCCCTTTTTTTGGAATAATCATCCACTATTACCTGCTACCTCCACGCTGATCTCAATGTCTCAAAAACTAACTATAGTCAAAAGATCATAGTGAGGACATGAGAATTAAAGTTGGAGGACTTTTTTTTATGCTTACTATTCGTAAGTTGAAATTAGCGAAATGCAATCTTTTGTGGGCTTGTCTGGACATCCAAAATCGCCTACGAATAGCAGATTTAAATACAACATTACTTAATACATACGGTTGAAAACGGTCGGAAACGGCTTGGAAAAAAGTCCCAACCATTTCCGTAACCATATTTTTCTAAGAAGAGCAATTTCACCGTCCAACATTTGGTATCTCAAGGTACTACAAATTTTTTTGTACCTCTAAGTACTTTCTAGTGCAAAATTTAGTACTTTGAGGTACCAAATGTTGGATATAGTAAAATTGCTCTTCTAAGAAAAAAAATGGAAAATGGTAAAGCCGTAAATGAAAACGATGTTAGAAATATCAGAAAACCGGAAACATAACTATATAGATGGAAACATATTGGTATCGTTCGAAAAAATTGAACTGTAGAATCACACACACTTAACTTTGCATAACTTTCTAAATATAATGAAATAAATTTTAAGTTTGTAATAAATTACAAATGGTCGTCCATTTAAGCTTATACTTGAGTTAAAAATTTGGTTGAGTAGTCGATGAGCTTCTAAACTACGGGTCAAATAAAGAAATGAATCAGTCAATGAGCTTATAAACTATGGGTCAAATAAAGAAATGAATCATAAATATTGATGTATAAAAAGTAGCTACTTTTAAGAACATTGATGCATTTAGAAATATAGTAATTACCATAATATAAAAAATAGTAATTCGTAAGAATTCGGCAAAATTCAGAAATAGTTGGTATTTTAATAATTTTTACCATTTTCATTTTTGTTTTTGTTGGTAACCATTAATCCATATTGCTCAGTTGGTAAAAGTAGAGACGAGGGTCGATTAGTCAAGAATTTTCGTGGACGTTTTCACCCCTATATGTACATAACCTATGGGAAAAAAAAGGACCCTATCAAGTTCACTGAACTATTATTGAGTTTCCTTTCGGAGGCTTAAAAGAGTTTAAGGATCAAATCTCCATACAGCCTTTAATTATTTCACCTCATCCCTTCTTGTGGCAAGCATATGTGCCTATGAACCCATGAAGTTGTCCTCCAGCCAACAAATTTCATGGACAGTTTTTACTATTTTGCTGCAGAATGTGCTCATAAACATGCGAATACGTTGATTAATTTCTAAGATATATACTAGGATACTACTCTATTTGACCTGTTACAAATTACAAGGAGTAAATACTTTTATCATCATACATACTTCAGAATAATTAAGTTCCACTATTAGCTCCGTCTTACATTTACATACAATCATTTCAAACCAAGATCACCTGCAGGTTGCAGCATTCACCTTCCATCATGACTAGATCCGGTGATTGTTGGCGACATGGTGAGAGGGTCGATCTCCTTCTGCCTGCTGAACTCTGAGGTGGTAGATTCTGAGTTGGTGCTGTTTCCATCTCTATATTGCCACTCAGTGATGTAGCTCGGTTTCGTCACCATCTCAACTACCTCAGCATCTCCAGTGAGCACTGCCATGACCCTCGACATTGGCGGTCGCTGATTTGGTGAGCCCTGTGTGCAGAGGAGCGCAACATGAATGACTCTGAGAACTTCATCTTTATTGAAATCCTCAAGTCTTGGATCAACGATTCTTTGTGCTTGCTCCTTTTCGTACAGGTCCCAGGCCTGTAAATTAACATAGGTATAGCTTCAATAATCAAAACATCATATACATGAATAGATTAGTGTGTTGTTTGAGGATGGAGCATTGATCAACTTACCCACTCTAAAAGATAGATCTTGCTTTCCTCGATGGAGTTATTAGTGTTCGATCGACCAGCGACAGTCTCTAATGCGACCACCCCGAATGCATAAACATCAACCTTTTCAGTCAAATGACGTCTCATTGCATACTCAGGAGCCAGATAACCACTTGACAAAAGGTTAGACAAGTTTTAGTTAGCTTTCATTTTAGAGGACAACCACAAGAGAAATGGTGAAATGTGCTTACAATGTGCCCGCAATCCCCGTGCTGACATGAGTCTTCTTCTCATCATAGAGCCTAGCGAGTCCAAAGTCTGATATCTTTGGGGTGAGGTCGGTGTCAAGTAGGACATTGCTGGCCTTGATGTCCCTATGCACAATGCGCACACTTGACTCCTCATGAAGATAAGTTAGTCCTCTTGCGATTCCTAAAATGATCTCGAAGCGAGTTGCCCAGTCCAGTTTTAAGCTATTCTTCCCTGTACAAGCAGAAATGACTTTAAGGTCTTGAGAATTCAAATGATGAAAAAATGAAGAGAAGAAATTTCCCAAAATATAAAATACAATTTTGCACTGTTGGTTATGAGCAGACTTGAACTCACTGAAGAGTGCTTGATCTAGGCTTCCATTTTCAAGGTACTCATAAACTAACAAAGGTGTATTACTGTCAATGCAACAACCATGCAATTTGACAAGATTCCGGTGTTGCACAGAAGAAATTGTTGCAACCTCTGTCACAAACTGGTTTTTCCCCTGATGGGATGATTGAGAAAGTTGTTTTACAGCTATAACTCTTCCATCAGGTAGCATACCCTGCCAAAGGAAGAACTTTACTTACGTTACATTTATATTTTGAGGGTAGACCAACAAGTTTGCAAGAAATCTATATTTAATACAGATCAGATAATTATTCAATTGCAATTTCACAGTATTAAATTAGGGAAAATAGACAACCTTATAGACTGGTCCATATCCACCTTCCCCAAGAATGTTTTGGGAACTGTAATTATTTGTAGCTAACTTGAGTTCAGCATTACTGAAGACATCAGGCCGTCCAACTAGGTTGTACAGTTCTGTAGACACCAGCGCACACCAGAAAGAATAAATCATTTGAAAATTTTGTTGTCTGAATTCCTGTATAATAAAAATATTTACCTCCTTGCTGTTGTGCAAGTCTTCTTCTCTTCTTTATGAACATAAATATTCCAAATAGGGCTGCTAATCCTACAACTGAGGCACCAATCGATATTCCAGCAATTGCACCTACTTTACTTTTCCTTTTGGGTACACCGTTTCGCACAGTAGGAGTAAAATCTGAAACAGAGATTTCATTTACTAGAAGGCAATATAATCCTTCTTGAGGTTACCTTAATGATTAGGCTTACTTGGAGTGATGCTTAATGCTGAGATCAATGGCCCGTAGTAACCTTGAATAGGAATGCAACAAGTGCCCTTTCCAGCCCAGAACAGATGGATTTCGAGGAAGTTTTTCGACACAGTTGCCGTGTAACTCTTGTAAACAGCAGTGAAAGATTTTCCACCAGCCATCTTCCTTATATCGAAGTCCTTTTCTTTTAGGTCACCCTATAAAAATGTCAATAATACAATCAGATAAAGAAGAAAAGGATCCAGTAAATATTTTTTTCTGTTTTTGCTTTTAGTAAACACTAGCATATTGCCCGTGCATTGTAACGGTATTTTTAATTAAAGAAAATTATCATTAACCCGTTATTATCATCTCTTAATTGCTGTACAAATCTGTTACTGACATGTGGACCCTTTGGCCCCACGTTGTCCTTTTTTCATTCCCGCAAAAATTAGAGAGTTGTTAGGAGTATTTTATTCTTTTTTCTCTTCAAGAAAAGTTAGGAATTGGTTGTGGGGTGGTAGCAGAACCACCACCACCACTAGTCCCTTTTATAAGGAGAATAGAAATTACCATACAATGCACTCAATTTGTACCTGGATATATATGTCAAAAACTCTCCTTCCTAAGCTTTTCCAAGTTGGTGAGTCTGGATAACCTAACTCTGCAAATTGAAGCAGAACAGTGTAATTTCCATTCTCAAGTCCAAGGCCAAAGTATCTCAGAGACGATGGTGACATCCTTGCAGTTTGGAGTAGTTCTGAAACCACTGCATTCTGAATCTTCTCATTGCTATATATGATCTTACTGTCATTTGGAGACTGGAAATATTTTCCTACATTGCTAACACCCCATCTTGTTTCACTGGTAACGTAATATGATGAGCTGCCAAGGTCTGTGAAATCCAATTCATACATAGTATTATCTGAGCCTCTGATAGATCTGTTACTACCACAGTCTACCGCAAAGGAATAATCTGCAGTTAAGATGTGCAAAATTATGAATAGTATAAACATTTCAAAATCCTATATACCAACTACTATGGTTAAGGAAGAGCGAGACATACATTCTGGAGAACCTCGTAAACATGGAGTGTCTTTCTGGAGGCAGTTTAGCCCTGGAGGTAGAATACTGTGGACATAATTGACTTGAAAAAAGTTGTGAGAAAAAATTGTTAATATTAAACACTTATGGAAGTATAGCCAAATGTCATAAGTACCCGTTGTTGGTGCTGCCAAGATCAAAGTTGTTTGCCACCAAATTCCTGGTAATAATTGAAGCGTTGAACATAACAAATTTTTTTCCCCTTGCCAACACAAATTTGAGATCTTTCTACTTACAATTGCAAGTTGTTCTGGGTAGCCCAGGAGGGAAAGCTTCCAGTGAGCTGGTTGTATGAAAAATCTCTGCAAATATGAAATAAATGCATCATTCTAATTTTAGCTGTACTGCAATGTTGAATTGTTTACACACAAGTTTTTTAGTGAAGGGCTTATCCCATCTGGCAGTCCTCCGGTTAGGCTATTGTTCCCAAGAAACCTGAATTGGGTAGAATACAAGATGATGAAACATGGTCATCAATATAACATATGTTTCTGTAGATGTAATAACCTCCAGAAAGAATTCCTTACAGGTCTGTAAGCATTTGTAGATTCAGAATTGATTGAGGAACTTTGCCCGAGATATTGTTAAAACTCAAGTCCCTGTGCCACAAGACAGCATACTTGAACAGACACTTCACATGAAATTTCAGAAAAAACACCAAGAGTTTCATGGATTGTGCTATGACCCATAATGAAAAACGTACAGGAAGGCTAATTTTGTGAACTTTGAAAAGTCTACTGCTCCAAGGTCTCCAGATATCCTGCAGTTCCTCAATACACTGTAAAAAGTATTCGGTATTAGCAAGTTATTACTTTGTCAATATATAAAATTGCAAGATGTATAGTTAGAATTTAAGTGTCACATACAGGATATTCAAAGACGTCAGACTACTGACAAAGGCAAATGAAGAGCTCCCACTTACAATATCTCCAATCCGTCTGCTCATTTGTATTTAGCACATCAGTCATCATGACAAGAGGGGATGGCAATGTTGCCATAGAACAAAGTACTTACAAGGTTGTCAATTTGGTTAGATTAGACAAACTTTCCGGAATCGGTCCTTCAAAAGAATTTCCTTGGAAAGCCCTGTGAGTTCATAATTTAAGAAAAAAGTATGAAAATGCCAAGTTTATTTGAATATTAGAAAAAGTAACCTCTACATATTAAGACACTGTTGGGACCAGAGTAATGGCATACAGGTATGCACATTTCTGTTCATAGTGATGACTTAAAAGAAAAAAAACACGCTACAGTTCGAATTCAATTGGAAACAACATATGCAGAAAATTTCTGTTGCAGTTCCACTTGTCTTGTGAATAGGATAAAATCATTGATGTGATAAAAAGTTAAAAATTACTCTTACAGATCTTCCAAATTAGTCAAGCTCCCAATATAATCAGGTATTTTTCCTGTAAAATCGTTATCTGATGCCCGCCTACAAGCACAAAAACATGTTTGATGTTGAGCATATGAAAACAAAATGAACATGACAACTGTGGCTCTGTTCTTGAACGTACAGGAGCTTCAGGTTCTTAAGCTTTGAGAACGTTGAAGGGAATGGACCACTCAAGCCAGCACTATCAGTGTACCTGTTATTAATGAAATGCAACAATCATGCATGTTCAACAATAGGTATCTTGCTGGTCCAAATTAAACTTTGTTCTTCTAGAAGTAGCATCTGTCAAGTTAGAAAGAGGGGGCTTACAAACTTACAATCGTTGAAGTTTGGTCAGGTTGCCCAATTCTTCAGGAAGTTGACCAGTAAAATTGGTCAAACTGATGCCTCTGAAACAAAAGAAATATTTCAGGAGTGATATAATTTATTTGCATGCTATGCTACTAGCTGAGAAAACGGGCATTGTTTGCCCTGATGAGCCTTTTAGTTTTCCTCGAACAGGCATCCACTTTCGAAACCCCAAACACACCCTTTTGATCCACAATTTTTGCATTTTGGATTTCATTCGAACATATGAAACACCAGTTGAAAAGTGAAATTACACTGAGGTGCCTATATATGTAAGTTATGAATTTTAGAATTTTCTAAAATGTTCTGGATTTGGATTTTTCTATATAATTAAATACTTTGTACCAACATTAATCTATAGTTGAAAACTGACCAGGTATACAAGAAGAGATCTCTTACAGCAAGTTGAGGTTCGTGAGATTCCCAAGTTCCTTCGGAATTGGTCCTGAGAGTGCATTGAATCCCACATGCCTATTTTTTTTTACACAAAAGAACGAAGGATGGTTCAGACAACACATCAACTGATTAATACTGCAAGAACATAAAACTTGAACTATAACTCCTACAATTCTGTCAAGGCAGTCAATTGCCCTATGAATGATGGTATGGGGCCTGACAAGTAATTTTGATCCAGGTCCCTGAAACAGCACCAGAAACATCCAGTCATTAGCAGCAAAGAATTTCAAACATGGGTTTGAATTTGAATTTGCTGGCTTGCTGCAAGATATTAATACATATCCTACAGTTGTTTCAGCATCTAGGCAGAGCTGATAAGAGTTAGATACCATACAGGTAATTTAGGTAGGTGAGGTTCTGTAATTCTGCAGGTATCTGACCGACAACGTTCAAGGCGTATACCTTCCTGAATTACATAAACAAGGAGTAAGAAAAATTGGAAATAAGTACGAAAATTCTTGCTGTTTACTCCAAATATACATGCACATATGTTAGTATGTTACCATACTCATGCGCCACTAACACACATACACAGCCCAACAAGCATGTCCATGTCTGGTTGGTTACTGAAACTCTGCTTAGGTCCAATTTTCACTCGTGATTGTAGCTTGTAGAGAGAAGAGGGCAGAAAACAGTGGGCGTTAGCTAGTTGTGTACAGATGTGTTGTCAACCTCAGATTTCACTACTGACCAGTGACCAAGGTCCCAGATTAACCTGGTTTCGCAAGTTCGAGGGGTAAAAACAAAAAATAATTTACTCTAATTACTCCAAGTAGTGATCATGGTGAAATTTGAACAGCAGAGCAGTTATTTGGCGACATAAAAAAAGTTACTCCCAAGTGAAACCTATGCATAGTTGCAGTGGTGGTCTTGCAAAGTTGCACTTCCAAGTTAGTTTCCACAAGAACTCATATATCCAGATTCCAGACGCCATGGCCTCTCTTGTAGGCACTGCGTCGAGCACCTGGCGTGCATGCAAACAAGAACCAGAAAAAACATAGTAACACTTACAGCTGGGTGATATGGCAGACGGTGCCGTTGATGTAGGAGCAGTCGCACTTGATGCCGGGGTTGTTCTTGGGGTTGCCGTCGAGGCCGGTGACGCCGTCGACGGGGACGCCGCGGCATGGCTCGCCGCTCATGCTCCACACCGGCGAATTGGTCTTGTTCCATCTCCCCAGGATCGCCTCCAGCGCCGCCACTGCATCGATCGATTAAAAATGATCAAACTCGCATTGATTGAGGCAACGAGAGAAGTAAAATTAATCAATCGCGGCGACATTGATTACTATACCTTCTACAGGATCGGTTCTTGGTGGTTGCTGAGCCTGAGCAGCTGAAATCCGCCATGAGCACACCGAGAGCAATATCCACACGATGACGTGGCCACCCATCTCTTGATTTCTCTCACCGGAAACAAACACGGAGGCTATCTATCTAGCTTAGCTGGTTAAATAGCACATCGATCGATGTTGTTGATTCATCGTACTATGCGAGCACAATATCAAACAAACTTTTATACACGAATATATGGATATATATAGCACATATATATCTAGATTAGTATATAAATGTTAATTTATTTTGGGACAGAGGAATATATCGACCACTGATATACGGAAAAATCGTATAGTTCGATTTATGTTGATATATATCGTCGATTTGTCGTACTGTATATGCGAGTATATCATCAAACTTTTAAATATATATGGATGTAGACCCTATGTGTAGATTTGTGTACAAAAGTTGATTTATTCTATCGCGGAGAGGTACATCGGTCGCCAATGTATGCACAAATCTTACTACGATTTATATATAGCGTGAAAATGACTATATCTTGTCTGTGACAAAAAGTATCAGTATAATTACTTCCCACGTTCCTTTTTTTTACTTAGCGCTTTGGACGACATCGACAGTCTGGTAGTGTACCATTGAATTTTCAAATTATGCATTTATAAATATTACTAAAAGTATAACCAAGTGAAAGAGTGTTTCAATCAAAAATCTGTTAATATAAAGCATATATAGTTTACCTATTAATAATTTAAGATTTTGAGGTTTTACTCACATGTTTTTTTATTAGGACGTCATCCTTTTTCAAACGGATGTATATGAACTTCTTATCTTATCAGTAGGTACAACAAATAACTAGGAGCCAAAGGAGTAGCACCCAAGTATCTGCCTCATGCTGTGACGAAGACAACGACTTTTATCACTGCATGAAAAGGAATTTAAGGTTTTTATCCATGACTTTTGGAGGCTTTTTGAAACGCCTTGCAAAGGCTGCAGTTGTGTTGGGAGTATATATATATGCATGTAGCTCTCCAGTCGCAGTACATACTCCACAACATTATATATAGGTACATATATTGGTAGCCTACATCATTGTGCATGCATGTGTTTATATTCTGTCAGATTTTATTGGCAAATGAATGAATTTGACATTATATAGTGCAGTGTGTAAAAAAAGCAGAAATATATATACAAAGAGATACTATACAAGTACTGAAATTTGATACATCCACTTATATATATGGTACATCTTGATACATTTTTAAAGAGTATAACAGATAATTTTATAATAATGATATGTTGAAATGAAATGAAATTATCCTTAGTTGGTCCTTTATTGCAAAAAAAAAAATAGCATTGGTGATAACCATCATTTAATTGACTTATAGGTTATCAGCCGTAGCCAAAACTTAATTTTAATTTTTTATAGTTTATTTTTAGAATTATCTTTTAAATCACTAAGAACATGTAATAAAAGTTTTACGTTGCTTTAATTTGTTCATTTTTTACGACTTATTGACTGACAGAACATGTAATAAAAGGTTTACAACAAATTAAAGCAACATAAAACTTTTGTTACATGTTCTTATTGATTTAAAAGATAATTTTGACGTATTCTAATACTAGTACTATTCTTGGAGCATGTCTTTACTCTATTTGTCCCATTAAAAAATCTAATATAAGATTTGACGTATTCTAATACTACGAATCTAAACTGTATATCCCCTAGGTTTATTTTTATCAAACGGAGGAAGTAGTCTTTTGAGAACAATAATTCATACCTTTGCAGTGCAGTCATGGGTCATAACACGTCATAGTGAGTGAATTACATCATTTTGTAGGAAAAATAATCAGAAAAGTGGCAACTTGATCTTTTGACATGACATCCAAAGAATCAACTGTGAAAACAGCATGTGCAGGAAATATGAATCAGCACTTGCTCTTACACTGTGTCGACACCATAACCTTCTGGAAAGAAAATATTTATTTTTGGAGGCATGGAACCTTTAGTGCTAAATTACCTGCTTTGCAGGACGGCCTCTCTGCAACCATTGTTAATTGTTGCCGCAATACATAGTGCATTTGCAACTAAACAGTTAAAGTATGAGTTTATTTCCCTGCTGTCAAGCATGTCAATTTTCCTATTGGCCGATGCTTTTGTCCAAAAGATTTGCTAAAACTGTACTACAACTTATGATATTAACCTTGTAAGCGTTAAAACAAAATTTTGGCCGGGACAAATTAATCATACATACCACATGCGAGATAGGGTCTTTGCTATCCATGCATTACTTAGGCCTAAACAAGTTGGGGAAAATTTTTGGGTTTTGTTGCCATATTGGATATACGAACATACATTTGAAATATTAAATGTAGTCTAATAATAAAACAAATTACAGATTCCGCTAGGAAACTACGAGACGAATTTATTAAGCCTAATTAATCTATCATTAGTAAATATTTATTGTAGCACCACATTGTCAAATCATAGCGCAATTAGACTTAAAAGATTCGTCTCGTAATTTATACGCAATCTGTGTAATTGTTTTTTTTCCTACATTTAATAATCCATGCATGTGTCCAAACATTCAATATGACTGCGTGAAATTTTTTATTTTGGGAACTAAATAAGCCTTAATTAGTCGCCAACCTCGTAAATCAAACGAGCTATTATCATAATAATGAGCAAATTTCACTTTAAATCATCTTTTATTACCGATGTTTTGCTTTGAACTATCTTTTAACCAATGTTTTCAATCTGAATCGAATAATCTTGTATTTGTTTTACTTTGGATCATCTCGACTCTCTTGTCAAGCATATGAACGATTTTGAGTACCCCGACTTCTATTCATCTAGTGACTGGTATTCTAATCTTTTGATGTTTGTATTGGTATATGTGTGATGGATGAAAAATTAACTTATTTTAGGACATAGGTAGTATCTGAAACTCGTTAAACTAAATTAGCACGCGTGCTCTCATAGAGATGGTCGATTGATTGCCTACTTGCATCCCTGGCTAGTTGATGCCTCGGTGTTACTAGGTCCTCTAGCTCAAGTCTCGGGAGGCTACCATTCATGACAGGTTTCACACCGTTGTCTTCCTGACAATGATGCACATCCTCTTCCTGACCAAGTTAAACCCCTAAAAACTTGTACATCTTGATGCTTTTTTAAAAGGAGCATATATAAAAGATTTCTTTTAATACTGCAATGTTGAAATAAAATGAGGTATATGTTGCAACATTTTTTTTCCATTGGTGTTAAACTGTCTTCAATGAGGTATCTAGCAACATTTTTTTATGTATTAACTTTTCTAGCTGAGATGAAATCTCTCTCTCAATGAAACGATAATTCCTCAACCATTCGCTTCGAACACAAGAATTTTATGAATCCAGGTTACTTTCAGTATAAATCAAGACAAATTCAAGGCTTCCTGGAGCATGAGTGATCTCTAGTTTTGAGAACAATAATTCATACTCCCCTTTGCAGCACAGTCATAAGTCATAACACAGGTCACAGAGAGTGGTCCAAGATTACATCATTTTCCGTGGAAAAAATAATCAAAAAAAGATGCAACATGACCTTTTTGACATGACATCGATCCAATGAATCAACTGAAAATAAGATCGCTCTAGATATGCTGAAAATATGAAGCAGTACCTCTGTCCATGTCCATGGATAGGATGTTTTACTACGCACCTGGATACATGCACTTGGATTTATATTTATAGAATGTGCTCTTAGATACATAACAAAAATCCTTATGTTTTATCTGTTAAAAAATCCTTATATTTGTGGACATAGCTTTATAGAAAGAAAATATTTATTTTTGAAGGAATGGAAATCATTATTTTAAATTACCCACTTTCGAATTTCGATGACTGCCTGTCGGCACCTATTGTTAACTGTAGCCCTAGGGCATAGCGCATTTGCAATTAACCTACTAATTATTAATTTTGGATTTCAGAATTAAAAAATAATCTACTAAATTGAGAGCTCAAATGGGTGGAATTTCATATATACAAGTTGTAGGATAGCGAAATCCAAAGAGTCCATACAGTAGTAAAAATTAAAAATCTATTAAACATTGTGTTTAATATAAATTCTTAATACGATATAGGGTTCTAATAATTTGAGCCAACTAACTAATGGCCATATCTTTTTATTGATGTGAGAGCTTTCTCGGAGTGTCCAATTAATATAAATATATATGACTATTGGTTTATCAACTGCTGATAAAATGTAAATTTAAAACTTAACCTAGAGTTGATTTGAGGGTTTTCATCATGATCTATTTTCCAGCTTTAGCTTTTAAATAGCTATGACATGTATATAAAATTTTTACTCGTAAGTTATTATTAGATGCTTCATTTATTTTCTACGACTTATCATATCAATGTTTCAATTCATCTTGCTCCATTATTTGTCCTCTTTCATCCTACTTGACGCACATGTACCAACTACCGGTCACACAAGTTGGCCAAGGGCACACTACTGCAACAACAACAACGACATCTCTCTCTGTGTTCATACTAATGAAGGGTTGCAGTAAAATACCGGACCACGATTTTTTACATCTAGGTGAATATGTATATCTATATATAGCTTACATGTGGCTCACATAATGTAAAAAAGTCTTAAGAAATTGGTAACGTAGAATATATATAATGCAGTAAGTTTATATACATACATGAAAGACTAGATTTATTGTACATTCGGAGAAACAAAAGATAAAATTCAGTAGTGAACAGTTCCTATAAGATATAAATATACCTTTTTTTTTTCTGTAAGTGTGATCAAACTTAGATATGCGTATTGCTTATAGGACATACACATATTTTATCACACCTGTTTAACTAGAATGTCAATCCGCGTGCAGGCATCTTCGTTAATATCGTACAAAGTACTATACAATCATTTTTGTTAATTTTGAGTATGTATGTTTGCATAATTGCGTGATATTTTCAAAATAATGAAAAACTCAAATAATAGAAATCTCCAAGCCAAATGGAAAGTAAAAAGTCCAAAATCAAAGTTGAGGAATATATATAATGTGAATCTCCCGCTACAAGATTACAGTGGGAGATTCACATTTTATATATATATATATATATATATATATATATATATATATATATATATATATATATATATATATATATATATATATATGACACTCATATGGGGCACCATGGTGCCCGGGCACCATGGTATCTAATGCACAAAATCACTCAAATTTTTCAAAATTTTCAAATTGTGAGTATATACCTAGTTATAATAATTTGATTCATACCTATACTTATCAACAAAACAACTCAAATTTAACTTTATTTCACAATCCATGATTACATACCTAACTAATTATATGTATGGATGCTATATACCTAGAATCAAAATCTAACAAAAACAAGTTCAAATTCAGTTCAAACTTGCTTTAAACTAGTTAGTAAAGTAGTTAATGTTAATACCTAAGTAATTGAAAAAGTTTCATACTCATTTGAATTGGGTATATACTCAATTTCAACAATGATGCCCGGGCACCATGGAGCACCAAACAAATTTACTATATATATATATATATATATATATATATATATATATATATATATATTAATGTTAACTCATTACATCGAGAAAAAAAAAGTCAATTTTACTCCCTCGAACTTTTGCACTGGAACACTTAACCTCCTAAATAATTTCTTGGCTCATTTTACACCCCAAAATATTGAAAATGGTTCACCTTACTCCCTAACAATATTTGTCTTTTTCGTCTCTGATCTATGTATAGGTCATATTTTGCAATGAAATTTTGGTGGATTGATATATAAATTATAACTTATCTCTCAATATTTAGGGAAATTAGGTGGTATTGATATATACATTATAACTTATCTCTCAATATTTTATTTTGAAACTTTTTAATCGGTGTTTACATAGGTTGTAACTACTAAGACTAATTTAAACGTAGAGGTTTTAAATTTCAAGTAAATAGTCATGAAAAATTTTAAAACTATTTTATAACTTTAATAATGGTGTCATCTATGGCTTTAAAAATTTTAAGCTTAAAATATAATTTGTATAAAGAGAAACAAATAAGGAAAATGTAATTAACCAGTAAAGTGAACTTAGCTAGGGGGTAAAATGAGTCGAAAAATAGTTTAGATGATTGATTCAATAAAATAGTTTACGGGAGTAAATTGGACCATATCTACAGCAAGAGCAACCCAATTAAAGGAAAGCTAATTATCAATTTGTAACATACAAAATACAAGTTAAATTTAAGTATTTAAATCTATTTTGGAAAGTTAATTTTGTTTCCATCGTAATACTAAAACCAAAATAGCAATAATCCAAATGAAATTCAAAAAACCCAACTATGAAAATAAGTTGTCGTGCAAATAAGTCATTATTAAATTCGATAGTGGTGTCATTGGAGTGTTTAAATCAATATTAAAAATAAAATATCAAAACCCAATTTCTAGCGGCGCATTTTGCACTCACAGTTGCAATCTCGTAATTCAAATCAAATCTTGGCTGTTGCATTTGCAGTTTATCCCCTTTCTTTCTCTCTATCTAAATTCCCTCTTTATTACTCACAAAAATTCAAAGCACACTGTTCATTGCCATCTAGGTGTTCGACCCGGGACTAGCCCAAACCGAGCAGCCCAGCAGCTGGCTGTGCGTGGCGTGGGGTGTCGATCACCACCTGCGGGTGCGATTCTGCCGCGCCGCCATTGAAGATGCCAGAGGCGGTAACGAAGATCTTGTTCACGGAGTCTAGGATCTCCATGCCACCGAGGAGGAGAAGCGCAGCGGCCACGCCAGAGCCCCGACATATCGTTGAGCACTTGGTCGGCGCCGGCCGCACATTCTAATTAAGCTGTATCGCAATCGCATCTTCTCGGTGATCCCTTGCGCGCCTTGAGCTTCATCTCAACCAGTAGATGTTTTTGCCTACTCAATTAGAAGAAGTAGCCGTGCCGGCCGGAGCTTTTCCGCTCCGGCCGGCGAGGAGTTCACGGTGGATATGGCTCGTCCTTCATCAGGCCCTCCAATTCCCCTAGATGTTTGTGGCATAATTTGGCTAGTAATTAGTTTTATATGGAAATGCCAAATTATTTGTGATAGCTGGAACAATCGTCATTTTGAGGGACCAAATTAAGTTTGTGCGTGTAGGAATTTGTGATCCACCGAGGAAAGGAAATTAGTTGGGATGAGGCTGCCGTGTTTAATTTGATATATATGGTGATGTGTTGATCAGTTGAGTCTTTTTTTTTTTTTGGTTTGTGTTGGTGCTGATCACTTATATGGTGAGATGCAGCTCATGTGAGTATTGCGTAGATTTGTTGCGAGTGCATGTATGGTAGCCAGGGTTTACCTTTTGAAGTGAAAACCGCTTCCCACCGGTTTACTGAAAACTGAACAAAATAAAAAAAGGTAAACCGACAACTTTCGGTAAATATTGTACAAATATTGCTTTCCCAAACCAACAACCATATCGGTTTAGGAGAATAGCTAATATGGTCCCTAAAGTTTCACTCCTGAGTCATTTTAGTCCTTAATCTTTCATATTGTCCAAACAAGTCCTTTAAATTTGTCATGTGGGCTAATATAGTCCTTGGTCCCACCAAAATCGCCACATGGACATGCCATGTCACCTTTCTATGCAAAATCTATATGATTTGTCCAATTCATCCTTACACATAGGAAAAGGAGAAAAAAGGAATAAGTTAAAAAAATATATGGTATATGTAAGAGCAAAAATATACCTCAAAAGGGTGATAAAAAGAAGTATTTTTTTCCTATGGTTATGTCTAATTCACCCTTATATTTATTTTTCTATGATATACGTAAGGGTAAATTGGTCAATTCATCATAGATTTTGCATGAATGATGACATGGCATATCCATATGATGATTTTTGATGGACCCAAGGACTATTCTAGACCTTATGATAAAGGTTAAGGATTTCTTTGGACCATTTAAAAGGTTAGGGACTAAACTGATCCTACAGAGAAACTTTAGTGACTAAAGTAGCTATTCTCCCTATCGGTTTCATTAAAACCAATAGGTTTTGTGAACTCTGATGGTAGCTCGTGAGAGTCTATTCTTTCTCATGGTTAAGCTCTAGCAACCCTAGAGTTAAGTTGATCTTTGTCGTTTTATGTTGAAAAACAAGGAGGTTATCCTTTACTAGTTTGCTCAAAAGCTAGTGGTCATTTAAATACGAATATGGTTCTCTTCTGATTTACTCGTAAATTAGTTTTGTGATTCCACGAAAGTGAATTAACCTTAAAATTGACTCCACTAACTAGTTTTGATCTTTTAATTTTGGCAACTCTATTGTTTTTACTGCGAATCGTTATTAGGTGAGTCTGTGTTGACCATCATAAAACATCAACATCAGACACCGTAGATGCTCGCACGTGGTCCAATTTGGCCGCCACTCCTTGCTTCGCCATAGACTGCAAGTCGCAAGACGAGGTAAGACCATAAACATATGATCGATGTATAGATATTGTAATCTAAGTTGCTAAGGTATCATTTCCGTATCCAACTAGATAGCGAGAGGAGTGGAGAATTAAGGTTACAATTTGTACGACATATGGACTAATTCATCCCCATCAAGAACTGATGGTGACATAGCTGGAAGAGATCCATGCAAGCATGTCAACTGCGACTTGTACATATAAAAACCCTGTTATCTAGAAAAAAAAGGGGGAAATTTTGTTTGATAACACCGAAGCATTACGCATTTTAGGTGTAACGGCAACTTTTCGACGGTATATTTAATTTCTAAACACATAATCTTTTGGTGTCACTAAACCAATTATCCCTTGGAAAGTTAGAATAATCATCCACACTTACCAGCAACCTGCACGGCTCCACAAACTGATCTAAACGTGATCTGAAAAAGTAGCTAGTCAAAGATCATAGTGAGAAGTGAGGACAGGAGAATTTAATAAGTTCGAAGACTTTTTATTGTTACTAATTCGTTGTAAGTTATAACTAGCGAAATGTAAATTCTATGCTTCTTTGGCCATCCAAAATCGCTTATGAATAGCAGAGTTAAGGACAACGATTCTCTGTAATTATTAAGATCCATTCTCTCTAGACTATAGCAAAAAAGGCACCCTATAATTAAACTTCACTGGATTAAATGAACGTGTTCACAAACATGCAAACGCAGTGATCAACTCCAAACATCCTAGTATATAGCACTATATTTCACCATTACAAATTACAAGGAGCAATACTTTTATCATCATGACACATAGTTCAGACTTCAGAATAAATAAGTTCCGCTATTTGCTCTGATTCACATTTACATATAGTCACATAAGCACGAATAGCATATAGTATTGTCACTTCAAACCAAGATCACCTGCATCTATTCAACTTTGCATTCACCTTCCCTCATGCTCATGGCTAACTCCGGTGATTGTTGGTGATTGAGTGAGAGGATCAATCTCTTTCTGCCTGCTGAGCTTAGGGGTAGTTGATCCTGAGTGGCTGGTAACATAGCTGGTATTCCCACCCCTGAACTGCCACTCGGTGATGTAGTTCGGCTTCGTCACTACCTCTGCCACCTCAACATCTCCAGTTAGCATTGCCACAACCTTTGACATTGGTGGTCGCTGATAGGGTGAGCCCTGTGTGCAGATGAGTGCGACATGGATGACTCTATACACTTCATCCCTGCTGAATTCCTCAAGTCTTGGGTCAACAATCCCGAGTGCTTGCTCCTTTTCATACAAGCTCCAAGCCTGTAAATTAACATAGGCAAATCTTTAGTAACTAGAAGATAATATGAATGAATGAACTAATATGATCTTGGATTATATTGAAAGATCGTTAAATCAGCTTACCCACTCAAAGAGATAGATCTTACTTTCCTCAAGAGAATTGTCGGTGTTCGACCGACCAGCAACAATCTCTAGTGCTACCACCCCGAATGCGAAAACATCAACCTTTTCAGTCAAATGTCGTCTCATCGCATACTCAGGAGCCAGATAACCACTTGACAAAAGGTTAGATAAGTTTAAGTTAGCTTTGTTTGTAAGGTACAAATATAAGAGAAATGGTGAAATGTTCTTACAATGTGCCCGCAATTCCTGTACTAACATGAGTCTTCTTCTCATCATAAAGCTTGGCGAGTCCAAAGTCAGAGATCTTTGGGGTGAGGTCTGTGTCAAGTAGGACATTGCTAGCTTTGATGTCCCTATGAACAATGCGCACGCTCGACTCCTCATGAAGATAAGTTAGGCCTCTTGCAATTCCTAAAATGATCTCGAAGCGTGTTGCCCAGTCCAGTTTTATGCTACCGTTTCCTGTAAAAAAATAACTTTAAGGCTCTGTGAACTAAATGATGGCAAAATGAAGAGATGAGTTCTCCCAAAGAGCATGTGAAGAAAAATACAATTTTGTAGGTGTTGGTTTTGAGCAAAAGTGAACTCACCAAATAATGCTTTATCCAAGCTTCCATTCTTAAGATACTCATAAACTAATAAAGGTGTGTTACTATCAATGCAGCAACCATGCAATTTTACAAGATTCCGATGTTGCACAGCAGAAATAGTTGCAACCTCTGTCACAAACTGACTTTTGCCCTGATGGGATGATTGGGAAAGTTGTTTTACAGCTATAACTCTTCCATCAGGTAGCACACCCTACCAGAAGAACATTGCTAAAGTTATATGTATATTTCGAAGCATAGACCAACAAGTTTGCAATAAAGTTAAATTTAAAAACAAATCAATTGAAATTGCATAGTACTAAATTAGTGGAAATAGACAACCTTATAGACTGGACCATATCCACCTTCCCCAAGAATGTTTTGAGAACTGAAATTGTCTGTAGCTAACTTGAGTTCAGCATTACTGAAGACATCAGGCTGTCCAACTAGGTTGTATAATTCTACATTTATTTTTCAGGGCACACCAGAAACAATAAATCGTATTAAAATTTTGATGTCTGAATTATTGTATTATTAAAAACTATTACCTTCTTGCTGTTTTGCCATTCTTCTTCTCTTCTTTATGACCATAAATATTCCGAATAAGATAGCTGATCCTAAAACCGAGGCAGCAATCACAATCCCAACAATTGCACCTGCTTTACTTTTCTTTTTGGGTACACCGTTTCGCACAGTAGGACTAAAATCTGAAAGAGGATTTCATTTATTGGAATCCAATGCAATCATTTTTATGTTAACTTAATTATTACGCTTACTTGGAGTGATGCTTAATGCTGAGATCAATGGTCCGTAGTAACCTTGAATAGGAATACAACAAGTGCCCTTTCCAGCCCAGAATAGATGGATTTCAAGAAAGTTTTTTGACACAGTTGTTGTGTAACTCTTGTAAACAGCAGTGAAAGATTTTCCACCAGCCATCTTTCTTATATTGAAGTCCTTTTCTTTTAGTTCACCCTGTAGAAATGTCAATAATACATTGATATAAATAAGAAAAAGATTCAGTAAACAAATTACTATATAATGGACTCAATTTATACCTGGATATATATGTCAAAAAATCTCCTTCCTAAGCTTTGCCAAGTTGGCGTGTCTGGAAAACCTAACTCTGCAAATTTAAGCAGAACGGTGTAATTTCCATTCTCAAGTCCAAGGCCATAGTATCTCAGAGACGACGGCGACATCCTTGCAGTTTGGAATAGTTCTGAATCCACTGCATTCTGGATCTTCTCACCACTATGTATTATCTTACTGTCATTTGGGGCCTGGAATAATTTTCCTACATTACTAACGCCCCATCTTGTTTGACTTGTAACATAATATGATGAGTCCCCAAGGTTTGTGGAATCCAATTCGTACATAGTATTATCCGAAACTCTGATAGATCTATTACTACCACAGTCTACCGCAAAGGAATAATCTGCAGTCATGACGTGCAAAATTATAATAGTATTAGAATTTCAAGACCCAATATATCAGCTGCTATGGTTGAGGAAAAGTGAGACATATACATTTTGGAGAACCACGAAAACATGGAGTATCTTCCTGGAGGCAGTTTAGCCCTGGAGGTAGCATGCTGTGGAGATAGTTGACTCGAAATTAAAAGTGGTGAGAGAGAAATTAGTAAAAACTTATGAATGTACAAATAAATGCCATAAGTACCCAATGTTGGTGCTGCCAAGAATAAAGTTGTTTGCCACCAAATTCCTTGTAAAAAATAAAAGGTTGAGTATAACATATTTTTTCCCTTGGAAACACAAATTTGAGAACTTTCTTCTTACAATTGCAGATTGTTCTGGGTAACCCAGGAGGGAAAGCTACCAGTGAGCTGGTTGTATGAGAAATCTCTGCAAACATGAAATAAATGCATCATTCTAATTTTAGCTGTATTACAGGGATGAATTGTTTACTCACAAGTTCGTTAGCGAAGGGCTTATCCCATCTGGCAATTCTCCTGTTAGGCTGTTGTTGCCAAGAAACCTGAGTTGGAAAGAAGACAAGATGATGAAACGTGGTCATCAATTATAACATGTGTTTCAGTAGATAGTAATAACCCCCAGAAAGAATTCCTTACAGGAATATAAGCTTTTGTAGATTCAGAATTGATTTAGGAACATTCCCTGAGATATTGTTAAAACTCAAGTCCCTGCGCCAGAAGACAGCATACTTGAACAGACACTTACATGAAATTTAAGAAAAATTACCAAAAGTTTCATGGACTGTGCTATGACCCATAATGAAAAACGTACAGGAAAGTTAAGTTTGCGAACTTCGAAAAATCTACTGCTCCAAGGTCTCCAGATATCTTGCAGTTCCTCAGTACGCTGTAAAAAAATATTTGGTATTAACAACTTATATCTTTGTCAATATATAAAATTGTAAGATGTATAGTTAGAATTTAAAAGTGTCACATACAGGGTATCCAGAGATGTCAGACTGCTGATAAAGGCCAATGAAGAGCTCCCATTTACAATATCACCAATCCGCCTGCTCATTTGTGTTTAGTACACCAGTTATCGTGACAAGAGGGGATGACAATGTTGCCACTGAACGAAGTACTTACAAGGTTGTCAATTTGGTTAGATTAGACAAACTTGCTGGGATCGGTCCTTCAAAAGAATTACCTTGGAAAGCCCTGTGAGTTCATAATTTAAGAAAGACAAAAGTTGGGAGATTTAAGGTCCATTAGAATATAGGAAAAAGTAACATCTACATATCAAGACACTGTTGAGGTATGCGCATTTCTTAAAAGTGATGACCAAACAGAAAAAAAAATGCTACAGTTTGAATTAAAATAGATAGAACATTTGCAGAAAATTTCTGTTGCAATTCCACTTGTCTTGTGGTAAGGATAAAATCAATGATGTGTTAAAAAGCTAATAATAAATCTTACAGATCTTCCAAATTAGACAAGCTCCCAATAAAATCAGGTATTGTTCCAGTAAAATTGTTATCTGATGCCCGCCTACAAGCATAAAAACATGTTTAGTGTTGAGCATATAAAAACAAAATGAACATGACCACTGTGGTTCTGTTTCTTGAACTTACAGGAGTTTTAGGTTCTTAAGCCTTGAGAGCGTAGAAGGGAATGGGCCACTCAACCCAGCACTATCAGTATACCTGTTATTAAAACAATGCAGAAATCATTGATGTTTAACTGTAAGTATCTTGCTGGTCCAAATTAAACTTTGTTCTTCTAGAAGTAGCATCTTTCAAGTTAGAAAGAGGGGGATTACAAACTTACAATTGTCGAAGTTTGGTCAAGTTGCCCAATTCTTCAGGAAGTTGACCAGAAAAATTGGTCAAACTAATGCCTCTGAAACAAAATGAAATATTTCAGGAGTGATATAATTTAGAAACTTACAAATATTTAAGTTTGCTCAAGTTGCCCAATTCTTCAGGGAGTTCACCCGTAAAATTGGTCAGACTAATGCCTCTGAAAAAAAAAAAAGCTCAAGAGTGATATAATTTCCGTGCATGCAATGCTACTAGTTGAGAAAAGTAGCATTGTATGTGCTGACGAGCCTTTTGATCCACAATATTCACATTTTGGATTTCACACAAATTTATAAGACACCATTTGAAAAGTAAAATTACACTGGTGCTTAAATTTTATTTGTGATTTTCTAGAAATTTGTAGAAAGAACTTATGCATCTAGATTTTTCCATATAATGAAATACTTTAGACCATTATTAATCTGTGCAAGAAGGGAACACTTACAGCAAATTGAGGTTCGTGAGATTTCCAAGTTCCTTTGGAAGTGATCCTGAGAGTGGATTGAATCCCACGTGCCTTTTTTTTATTACAAAAGGAAGAAGGATGATTCAAACAAAACACTAACTAATAAGGACAATGCAGGAAAACTTAAAGTACAACTCTTACAATTCTGTCAAGGCAGTCAATTGCCCAATGAATGATGGTATGGGGCCTGACAAGTAATTTTGATCCAGGTTCCTGAAAAGAACAAGAAACATCAAGTCAATTAGCAGCGATGAATTTCAAACATGAGGTTCACTTTGAATTGATGTCTTGCTGCAAGATATTAAGAATATGTAGTATATATCCAACAGTAGTTCATCATCAAGGCAGAGCCGAGAAAAGCTAGATACCATACAAGTAAGTTAGGTAGGTGAGGTTCTGCAATTCTGCAGGTATCTGACCGACAACGTTCAATGCGTATACCCTCCTGAATAAATAAACAAAAAAAGAAAATTATTCACATGAGAAAAATACTCCATTCATCCCAAAATATAGCATCTAGATTTCAAATTTTATTCTAATATAGTAGCAATTTAGTACTTATTTTACCATTGAACTACCCATAATAACCCTTGGTTTAATTATCATCATGCCCATGCCTCATCTCCCCAAGGCAAATCAACAAGTCCTTTTACCTGTCTCCTTAATGGCTGTGATAAGAGCTAATTTCTAGAGAACTTTTACGGTACAATATACTACCAGTATATACTGGCAGTATATAAAAGGGCATATTAGGAATTTGATAGAAAATAAAACAACACTTTAGTAATTTTTGGTTTAAATTGAATCTAATTGAGAGTACCCGGTCCTGGATCTTATCGTGCACTAGGGGAGGAGCATCCTGAGCGCCATTTGATGACAAAGCACGTGACGATAGCACGATTTGATTATAGAATAACCAAGAAAAGACAAAATTACCCTTTCAAACTTTATATTGCAATCTAATTAAATAAAAAATTAAATCAATCTACACCATTAGATCATATATACTTTTTACTATTTAGTCCAATATATGAGCTAACTCTTGACCAGGCACACATAGACAGCCCTGGTCCCCCACAGAAAAATGGGAAAAATACACACACACATCCCAACAATATTGTTTGGTCACAGAAAATCTGCTTGGGAGTTGGGTCTAATTTCTACTATGGTTGCGCACCATGCGTAGAATTACAAAATTGACGATTGATTAGTTTGATCTCTCCAGGGCTGCCTGGACTTACTCAACCGGATCCCAGCCAGATCCAACTATAATGGAAGGCAGATGGCAGCTGTGGAAGGTTAAGAACTAAAGATCTTGCAGGAAGCTGAACCTCAGATTCCAGTACTTGGACCAGTGACCAAAGAGCAGTATTAACAAAAACCGATCGGTTTTTTTAAACTGCCCGTGGTCAGTCATTTGTGGAAGCCAAACGGTTTTAGCTGGTTTTCGTATGGCGTTGACCAAAAGTCATCCGTTTTTGCCGGGTTTCAGCTTGTGATGATCGGTTTTCAATTTAAAATAAAATGGTAAACCCTGCCAAAGAGATCAGATTTTTCTGGCCATGAGGCGGGGTGGGGTGTTGAAATAACCTGGTTTCCCGATTGGAGGAGTAAAAATAAAATACAAGTCATCATGCTTTACTCCTAAATGAAATTCGGACCCACAACAGAATTTCGGGGGACATAAATGAGGCTCCTCTATTCCTAAGTAGTGAAACTGAAACCTGTGGTCCTATGCATATGCTCAATGGTGTGGTCTTGCAAAAGTTGCAATTTCTTTTCTTTTTCTTTTTTTTTGCGAGGATCAAAAGTTGCAATTTCAAGTTAAGTTTCCATTAGAACTTATATATCCAGACGCCAATGGCCTCCTGTTCCCGTAGGCACTGCGTCGAGCACCTGGTGTGCGTGCAGATGAACAGAGCCAAGGAAGCAGGATGGGAGCGTATACGTACAGCTGGGTAATATGGCAGACGGTGCCGCTGTTGTAGGAACAGTCGCACTTGATGCCGGGGTTGTTCTTGGGGTTGCCGTCGAGGTCGGTGCTGCCGTCGACGGGGACGCCGCGGCATGGCTCGCCGCTCATCCTCCACAGCGGCGACGTCGTCTTGCCCCATCTCCCCAGGATCGCCTCCAGCGCCGCCACTGCACCGAATGTATAGTACCAGAGTAATAATAAGTACAATAATTAAGCTTCGCATTGCATTGATATCAAGACTAATTACGTGTATATATATATATATAGCAGCATGATTTGATTACGTGCTTTGATTATACCTTCGATTGGATCAGTTGTTGCCGCTTGCTGGGCATGAACAGCGGCGATCAGCCATGAGGAGCACATCACGAGCAACACCCACACCAGCTTACCACTAACACCACCCATCTCTCTCTCTCTTTCTGCTGCCGAAACAACACGGAAGCTTGTTAAATATATAGATGGTGTGTTTGTACGATGCAACTATATGCAAAGGGAGGCTCTGTATTTTAGGGCGCTCATACGTACTCTCTACGTCTCATAAAACACCAATCTAAAATAGGACGAGACATAATTTAGTACAACGAATTTGGATACTCTCTCTGTCTGAAAATAATTACAGCCCTATAGTTCAACACTTATTTTGGAACGTAGTGAGTAAAAATATGTCCAAATTCGTTGAATTAGATTATGTATCATCTCATTATAAGTTGGATTTTTTGGACGGAGTGAGTAGATGAGATAATCCAAATAGTTCTTATCATCACTACCTTATTACTAGGAAAAATGTCTATATTTGACGCTCTTTCGGATTCGTAGTACTCAAATTGTCTAATTAGCTATTAGGTTTGCTATATTTTAGAATGGATATAGTATTTGTCATCACTTCTTAATAAGAATTTTATTAAGCAGATGAAAATATTTGACTATAACAATGTGAGTATCTAAGCATCAAAACATTGTAAACTACAAGGTCACAAATATGCGCAAAAGCCTGCTTACGGTTTATATTTATAGTGTGAAATTGAATATGATTTGTGAAAAAAAATGAAACTTTCTTATCATTATATTTTATAACAGTGTTTATTATCCTATAACTAAAAGAAAATCAACGGTAGAAAATATGAACAGGCCTATAAAAATTAGCCATGGAGCATCTCTAGCAAACTACCAATAGTCACTACTATATAGTCACGTTGTTATAATCCATAGGTATCTGTTTCGGTGCCAACAGCTATTATTCAACACCAATAACTTGGATCATTGGACATATGTGACAATATAGGTGCTAGGGGTGCACCCCTTATATTAGTGCTAAAAACCCGAAAAAAATAATATTTTTATTAGGGACCTATATGGTCATATTTAACTTCTCACGAGTCACATGACTTTTTCAACCCATATTCATGGGCATGCTTCAAGCAATATTTGAACTCAACCCACCTCTCTCCTTCTAAGCCTCCTTATCATCTAACCTACAAACGCTTATAATCTATAATTAACACCATAGATAAGTCTTGTTGAGATCTACAAATTTGATATAAAATTTATGTTCATCCGATTTTATATGAAAAAGTTAGATAAAAAACACACATATACGAGTTGTGTCATCGTGCCAGTTTTAAACGTAAACTAGCACCTATGGGCTTATAAGTGCCCTTTTTTTAATTAAGAATTGGCACATGTGTGATGCCTATATATATGTCGGTTTATGATAAATAAAAACCTATACCTATAACATTGCACTTATAGATGCTAATTTATTATAAGAACTCGCACCTATAACTTGGGGGAATATTGGTGTCGGTTTTTATTACAAACTGGTATAAATGAGTGGTTATAGGTAAAAGATGGAAAAAGCTTCATAGGTGATATGGTTTTAGGCAAACCGATAAGACAGGTCTCTATGTGATGTTTTGTAGTGGTGAATGCTATCCTATAAGTTGTTCACGGGGAACAAATAGTTTTTTTTAATGAACTATTTCTTTGGTCTGAAAATAAATTTATCTTTGCTTTTCTTGTTTGTCCTAAGTAAGTTCATTTTGAGCTATCATTGCATTGGACTTTGTAAAAGAAGTGGACAAATACATTGTAATAGATAAAGTGGGAACAATTACATTAGGATTCGGTAAGTTGGAGGATGTTATTTTGCTTTATTATTGGTATGTGTGGATGTGTGAAAAATGAGCTTATTATGGAAGGAAGGTAGTATTTAGTTTCGAATGGGGGCACTACTTTAAATGACTACGAAGAAATAATCTGTCTTAGTGTTTTCTTTATTTCTTTTTTTTTCCCATGCATGACAGTTGACGTGGGGTGGGTGGACAGCGATCAAGTCCCTTATAAACGAAAGAACAATAATTCATACTCTCTGTCAAAAGGACTTGATTTCTAGCCATCCAAAATTTAGTAATAAGAAGTAAAGAGCAATGAGTTTCTCGTTAACACTATAGTAGTATTGCTAGGTGGGTATATAGGCAAGGTGTATTAAAGGGATAAGAGTCCTTTGAAACTCTTCGTTTTGTGAAAAAATGGTAGGCAAGAGACTAGAAATCATCTCGACACATTAGAAATCAACTCCTTTTGAGATACTTTTAAATATCTTTAGTCTAGATTACTGTTACCAACCAGTACTAAAAATTAAATTTTAGTTTGGATTAGTCTTACTAACCAGAGCTAAAGATCATCAAGCATTAGTATCGGCTGGTGTTACCAACCGATACTAAAGATGTACTCTTAGTACCGGTTGGTAACACCAACCGAGACTAAAAATATTTCCAAAGACACTTTTAGAACTAGTACTAATCTAACTAAGATATTGGTGGTTTTGTGTACCACGACGAAAGATTAGTTCTCCAATAGTGTCGGAAAATCAAAAAAGAGGCAACGTGACCTTTGGACATGACCTGATCCAAAGAATCAATTGAAAATATATACTAGTACGATGGTGCCACATGCATGTGCCGGAAATATGAATAAGCACTTGTCATTAAAATACGTTGACACCAATTACTTTGTGAAAAGACTACATTTATTTTTGAAGAAATTAATGGAATCCATTTAGTACCAAATTGCCCAATTGGCATGACTGCCACCGCACCTACTGGCACTGCTATCATACTATAGCTTAGCTACTGCATTCCTGCAACTGATCAGAGGAGTTAAACTACTGTTAACTAATCAGTTCCCTGTTGTCACGAAGGTATACCCTCCCTCGCATCCGATCCATGCATTGTGTCCATATATACTAGTAAAATATTTACCAATACTTCTGTAGTACAACCGATGATATTTAATTGGGTAAACATTAAAGTAAAACCTAGGGCTAATCAAACATAATATGTATACGGCATGTCTGCATGAAAGACAGGGGTTTTCTCTGTCCTCAATTACTGATCCCGCATGATTTTTTTTCCCGGGTCAGCAGAAGGAAAAAGATGGACCAAATTTCATTAAGATTTATAGAAGCTTTTTACATGAGTATGGTCCTATAACATTAATCTGCCGAGTTGAGAGTGGCTCAACACTCTCAAAACATGTAAACGAAAGACAAGAAAAACAAAGGTAAAGGTACTCCTCTCAGGATTGAAAAATTTCGACGGACTTCCAAATAGAGATTTCTTCGTTCGCATCACTGACCAGCTGCTCCGGCCTTTTGAACCTGTGTTCAAACACTCTTCTGTTTCGCTCTTTTCAGAGGAGCCAACACACCATCAAGAAGAGTGAATCGAACGCCATCTTGTAGCTTGTCCGAAAATGGCGACGCTCCTGCTGCCACCAATCTGCGAGCAGCCAGTCGCCATGGCCCGGAGACGGAAGTCCACCCTAATCCAGTCCCGAAGCAAAGACCAAACCCTATATTGGTGTAGGCACATTGGTGAACTGCAGGTTGTTGCAGTCCTCGAAGATGGCGTTACAGAGGGCGCAAAGCTGTTTCGTGTGGCCACTTAAATTCAGATTTTTACAATACCATTTTAAATTTTGAAGTATAAACCGGTCCCTGTAGGTTTTCCAAAAACTAGCAAAAAGTTGATATATGATTTTTGATCAGTTCTGTATAAAAGCCAGGTAAAACTGCTCGGATTCAGAAACCGGTGTCCAACGTTTTCATGAAAACCAATAAAATTTCATATAGTTTTCGATCAGCATTGCAAACCTTGCATAATTTCATCTCTACTCGGGACATCCATGTGTCCAGGCCGGTAATCTATCTAGCTAGGTCAGGGGCCGGGAGGAGCTCGTCTACGCCCGTCATTTTCCCAACTACTCCCTCCATCCAAATAAACAAACTTATGATTAGACGTGACTAATATAATAAATATGGATAGATTCTTAGCTATCCAGATTCATGGTAATAGGATATGTCAGTCACATTAATTTTAGAGCAATTCTACGGTCCTTGAGTAGGTACCATGAGGTACCAAAATTTTAGTGTAAAATTTGGTACCACCTCATAGTACCTAGGTACCACGAGGTACCAAATTTACAATAGAAAAAATGGTACCTCATGGTATCTCCTCAAGGTCCGTAAAATTGATCTTAATTTTAGGTTATTTTTTTAAGATGAATGGAGTATGTTAAACATAAAGGTAATTAGCATGTTACCATCATGGGGGCACTGCACGCTGGTACTACGACACTTGAGCTAGCTAGTACTCCCATCGACGACCTGAGGGTTGACGCGAGGTGTGCATGCATGTGTCATGCTATCAAATTAATTAACAAAGCGACACTACATACGGCGTACGGCTATGTTTGGCCGCGTAACGGGAGTGGTTAGTTGCAGGGGAGAGGCTCTCTCTGGCTGTGTTTTGCATAGCATAACTATACTTTCTTTATGATTGATAAACACTAACAAATATTAGAAGCTAATGGCTAACATGTAAATCGATCAGCTTTACATATCATCATTCATTAATAATTAGTCCGTACTATTTTAGAGCATTTTAAATCTTATGCAATATACGTAGAGCTTAATATATAAGTATGTCAAATCATTTTTCTCACATCATTTTCACAATGTTTCAAATTTTATCATTTCTATAATATTTAACATATATTCATCCATAAATTTCGCAGCAAATTACCACGGGGTGTCACGTAGTAAATATATAGATATTACTCTGCCCGTGCTTTTTCACCTGTCAAAATGCACATATTTTTATCGATAGCTACTAATATTTTGCACAAATATATTTCTTATTATATATTTGTAAAAATGTATTGGAAATATTAATTATATGAGTGCATTTTCATAAAAAATGTACTGATATTATTTTAACGTATCAAATCTTAATTTATCTTTTAATTTATGTCTGATTTAGGATTTTTTTTATTTCTTGATCGTACTCATCTACTCTAAAGATTGTATCTATTTGTCGACGCAATGAGTATGTATGAATATTATTTATACATATTGGTCGTTGGTTCATATATATATTAAAATTTTATCAGAATTTATACACAGCATTAAAA